TAATAAACTATGGCCAACAATATTTATTTCGGATTTTTAGTTCTTTTTTTAAAAATAAATTGTCGCTACGTAACAGCGTGTAAACATTTGGAACCAAAAGTATAATTCTCTCTACAATTAAATTGCAAACTAGCATCCATTTAACTCAATCTCGGAGAAAGTTTTAATATATCTTACTGTGAAAGTATTTCTTGGCTCCAAACATTTGAAATTCGAACTAACAGGCCTTAGTCGCCCTTAATAGGCTACATTTAATTAGAAGAAAGTTACGTGAAAAAGTCAATTAAGAGTTATACGAAGGAAAAAGAAAGTTACTGTTTTTTCTTTGATTCAAGAAAAAAAAAGAGTTTTTGATGAATCAAAAGTTCAACCAACCGAAAAAAAAAGAAGGCATATTTACCAATTCCTCATTTGCCTATGATTCTTCTACTGGCCAAAAACAATGTCAGGTTCTTGCAGCATTCCTCACCATGAAATCTTCCCCTAGTGTCGGCAAACTTGTATGTCTATCTGTAGACCTTGATGACGAAGATCAATCTTTTACAGAGGATTTCCCGACTTTCTAATATGCGATAACGAGCTGCACCGCTATAAATCTAAGAATAATTTTAGCTTTTAAGGAACTCCATTTTGCAGGAAGAAACGCCAACCCAAGTATACAGGGATGCGGAAGACCGAACCGCAACATGCCACTTTCCTCGTCACAACTTCACCATCATGGTCCTCTGGACCCAATTCCTCGTCTCAGCCTCGGAGATAATAGCAAATGGGTCAGCAACCGGCGGGTTCCATTTGCACCTTGACAAGATTGACGACAGTTGGGCGCAAAAACTATCTGCCATCGACTACGCCATTATCTCGGATGGCCAGTGGTTCTTCAGACCCAACTACCTGTATGAAGGCGGTCGTTTTGTTGGTTGTATTTACTGCCAGGAAACTAATGTGACGGACCTTGGTCCCGGCTTTGCCATCCAAAAAGCTTTTAGACTTGCTCTCAAGTACATAAACGACTGCAACAGCTGCCCGAGGATAGTGACTATATTAAGAACATTCTCACCATCCCAGTTTGAGAATGGCGGATGGAACGCTGGAGGGACCTGCACTAGAACGAGCCCATTGGCCCCAGAGGAGATTAAGGATGGTGGTGGCCTGGATTGGTATTATAGGGGGATTCAATTGGCAGAGATCGACAGTGCACGCAAATTGGGAGAGAAAAAAGGGAATGTATTTGATATTCTTGATGTTACAAGAGCTATGCTTATGAGGCCTGATGGCCACCCTGGGTTACACTGGGGAAACCAATGGATGAAGGGATACAGTGACTGCATCCACTGGTGTTTGCCAGGACCCATTGACGCTTGGAACGACTTTTTACTTCAAGTGCTCCGAAGACAATCCCGCAATCCTCTCGGCTCTAGAACGCATGGCTCAAGATTCATAGGAAGAAAGTGAAACGCAAATAGAATCAAAGATGTGCTAAATCAAATGTATTTCACAGTATACTCATCAACCACCAGCAGTCTGCCGAGCAGTTGAGACTTGAGAGATCCCACCGCCCTCATCCATTTCATCTTTTTAGGCCTAAAAGAAACTGATAACAGATAAAAGATGTCGAAGCAGGGATTTGATGGTGCCGCTAAAATATACAGCCAGTTATTATTCAAGAACCTGAATTTCTTCAGAACCGTGTCATGCTCAGGGGCCAATCACTTCTTAAGACAAAAATACTCAGTACTTTCTAAAATGTAAAATATTAGAAGATTATATGAAACCACAGACTAAAGAAGGGGAATTGCTCGCTGACATAATTTCCAATAGAATATACCATTTGGCTGAGAAAGTAAAGGAAATAATATATAGTTGTCAGCAAGGCAATTCAAATAAATTTTCAAGCTAAGCAAGGCTAAAGTCCTATTCTTTACCAAGAATGGAAGAAAAAAAAAAAGAGAAAGGTCAAGTCCTATCAGTGTCTTGTACTTCAACAGGAGACCCAGAAAGCCGCTTTAAGGATTTTATATATATCCTTGGAAGATTTTGTCTATATTGCTAATGTTTGCACAACTACTGCAATGAAATGTGAAAGAGTAAATACACCATCAGTAACCTCTGAACTTGAACATTTCCTTAAAAAACAAAACCAAGTAAAGCGCAAAAGCATATATAAATCCTAGGAATGATACGCCTAAATCCAATACCTAGTGTAATAATCACCAACAAAAATATAGACATAGTTCATAGGCGCATCCGCATGAATAACTTAATTTTTAACGAAAAATACAACGGACAAGAACAAAATTCAACTCGCCTTTCAGTTCATAGAGCTATAAAGAGTCATCTCACTACTATAGCACCGTTGCTGCAATCTACAACCAGTTTGTACAACAAGAAAATGCAAGGAACAAAAATTTAGTACCTAATTTCACGTTACCATTGACTATCAGGGCAAGATATCTGAAGTCTCAAGGTTCAACAGTGCCACCACCAAGCACAAAGGAGCATAGTTCGCGGACTGGTGGACACTCAACCAATGCAATATCCATTGCATATCCAGTGACTGGCATCTTCAAATCCCGTAAAACAGTAAATGCCTCAGCCATTCGAGCCTTTGGCACTTCTTCGGCAACAGGACAATGTGGAATCCATGAATCAGGGCGATAATCCTCCCCAATTTCAATGCCATCTTTTCTCATTGCATCACACAATTGAAGGTGGAATTGAATGAGAGATAAGGATGGTGTTGGCGCAAGAAAGAGAACGTTGTTGTCATTAGCAAGGCTTCCAATTGAAGAAAATGACAACGGCAAAGGTTCTTGCTTTGAAGCAAAGTTTTTCACAATGTTTTCAAGTTTTGAGACATCGACAAGCGGGCTAGAAAATAAGGTAATGTGGGGTCTGGATTCAATTTCAATAAGCTGAGTACTAATCTGTCGGCGAGCCAACACATTCCAGGCCTTCAAGACCTGGTTTTCAAGTGCAGGATCAAAGTAAAGCTCCAATGCATAACCTTGTGACATTGGCTCTAAATTCAACCTCCTGCCAACAAATTAGTAACCATATCCTTAGGGGTTAAAGAGAAAACACATGACTGGCAATCATTTTACAATTGACCAGCTAAACAGAACGTAAAGCAACAAGCTAAAACAGCAATTAAAAATAAAACAATGGAATGAAACTAGATCTCAGTGTCACACATAACCAGAGTGAATTTAAAGAACCACGAAAATCAAGATAAATAGATAATTAGAGTGAGCCCATCAAAGTAAATATGCTTACGAAACCCCCACCTCCACCTCCATCCCCACCCCCACCCCCACCCCCCTAGCCCTCAACCCCAATATACGCGAATATGCAAGGTGCAAAAACAGCACGGACAGCAGGAAAGGCAAAAAAAAATTAGAAGTTACCCAATTGAGATTAGAGGCAGATGAATAGCAGGGAGGCAATTTGGGGACTGTAAGAACAGAATGGCCACAATTCGAGCTGCAGGCCGGGCTCGGGCGAGGAGAAAAGGAAAAAAAATGGAAAAACAAAAACTAAAGAGAGAGTTGAACTGCGGAGGAGGGGGAATACGTATTAAAAAGTTTCTGTGTTGAAGTTTTGATGCTTTAACAAGGAAAAGGACACAAGGAATAGAGGGTACCCATGGAAATAAAAAAGGGTTAGGAGCAAAGCAGACTGGATAGCTTAGTCTTGGGGGAGTTGGAAATAATAGTCCAAGAAATTTCTTTCGGTCGCTGCGGCCGGGGACGGGGAGAAAAAGTAAGAGGGTAGGAAAATGCTCAACTATCATACTACTCTTAAAGTAGTACATCTCCCTGATTTTTTTAAATTAAAGATTAATTTTTACTATATTGACAGGTATCATGGATTTAACAAGTATAACATATATACTGTCAATAAATATAAAATTTATATTTTAATTAATTAAAATATTGTGTAGGTTTTTATCCAATAATTATAATATATACACTATTAATATATATATAATTTATTCTTTAATTAATTAAAGCATGGTGTAGATTCTTTTTAAGTAAGAAAATTTGAATTTAAAATCTGTTACTTATAACTTCTCCTAACTTATCACCCAACCCTCCCCCAATTACAGCGTAGAATCCTTGGACTAGAGTTGCAAACGAGTCGAATCGAGTCGAACTTTGACCTAATCAAGTTAAAACTTGATTTAGCTTTATCACGCTTCAATTCGAGCTTGAGCTCGACGAGCTACCAATTTAAAATTCGAGGTCGAAAAAATAAAAAATAATTATTTTATTTTTTAAAAATAAATAAAATAATATTTCTTTCTTAATAAATAATAAAATATAAATGATATATGTGTAATTTTACTATTAAAATAAAAAATATAGATCGCTAGCTAACAATCTTAATATTTTTGAACTCAAATTCGATTTGGCCAACTTAATCTCGCTATTGATGAAGTTTGAGTTGAACTTGGACTCAGACGACTCGCGAACAGTTCGATTCGTTTGCAATTCTACCTTGGAGGCTTGGACTATTGTAAAGAAAAGCGCTTCGAGTTTTAGAAACACCAAGGGAGGGAATTTTGTAGGTAAGGGGCTCAAAATCCCTTGGCTATTCAAGAATTTTTCAAACACTTCTAGAGAAGGTGAGTTTTTTGGGAGCTTTTAGGAAGGTGAGTTTTTTTGGAGTTTGTCTAAAATTTTACTGTAGGCTACTGTAAAAGTTTTTTTAAAAAATTTTGAAATGTGTAGATTTTTTAATATTTTGAAGTGTATAGTTAAAAACTTTAAAATTTTTTTTGAGATTACTATAGATAAAGTTTTTAAAAAACTTGACAAAAAACTTGAACCCCAAACAAAGCCTTAGTTTGATCCATCTCCATCCCCCTTCCCTCACCCCTTAGTATAGGACCATTTCGCATAATGTTGTACTCCAAAAAAAAAAGAAAAGGAAACAATATTAATAGCAAGTGGTATAATCAGACCTCAAGAAACTGTCTTGAACGTGCTAGTCTTTTCAAAATGGACGCACAAATCACTCTTGATTCCGCGGGTATATAACTGAAAAACTTTTGAACTAATTTGGGGCCTGTTTGGAACCTGAGTTTTTTGAAAGTTTGTCTAAAACTTTACTGTAGTGCACTGTAGAAGTTTTTGAAAAAATTTTGTAAAAATTGTAAGGTGAAAAACTTTTTTGTAGAAGTTTTTGTAAGGTGGAAAAACTTTTTTTCCTTTTCTTTTTTTTTCTTTCTCTTTCTTTTTCTTTTTCTTTCTTTCCTTTTTCTTTTCTTTCCTATCTTTTTCTTCTTCTTCATCCCAGCAGCAACGCAAACGCAGCAACAACGCAATGGGGCAGCAACGCAACGCAGCCTCCTTTCAGCCCCTCCTCCTACTCTTCCGCCTGCTCCACCCCCAACTCCACCACCAGCCCCACCTCCTGCACCACCACCTGCTCCTCCACCAGCATCTCCTCCAACGCCACCAGCACCACCAGCACCACCACCACTACCTGCACCTCCTCCAACTCCAACACCACCATCGGCTCCTCCACCAGCACCTCCTCCAATGCCACCTCCCGCCACCCCTCTCCTCCCTTTGCCCTTCCCCCTCCCTCTTCCCTCGCCCGGCAGTCAAGGCGCAACTCCTCCACAAGCCAGTCAACTTTTTTTTTTTTTGCAATTTTCAGCCTTCCCCTCTCCTTACTCTATAAGAAGGATCACCTTACTATTGGCTTATTCTTTTTCTGCTACCGCTAAAACTTGCAGGATCCCGTCTGAGCCGCCGGCGACGAGTGTGCATTGGTCTTCTCCCATTTGCCTCCAGCATACGCTGCTCACAAACCCTGCACCTATAGGCTCGCAATATTCCCACCCGGAATATTCAGCTCGACCTGGAGCCGGAGCTCCAGCAGAGGATGGCTCGAATCTCTTGGCCCAAATAGACGAGGTCATCTCTTATCGTAGACAACAACTTGATTGTCCTCGGAGCCACAGCTAAGCAGGCCGCCGCCTCTCCAAACGGATAACCCGACAAATCTCCTGGCATTGACGTGTCCCGTGTACGTCCGAATAAGCCGATGATCTGCAGTGTGCCACGTCTTCAAGCACCCATCAATTTAAAAAAAAGGGTACAAACTGCCGGTGAAGAGAGCGGATGGCAGGGGAAGATGGCGTGGAGAGGGAGAAAGGCAAAAAAAAAAAAAGGAAACGTGGAGGCCTCGCCGGACGTGGTGGTCGGCGACGGAGGTGGTGGTGGGTTGGGATGGGGGAGGAAGAAGAAAAAAAAGGGAAGGGAATTTTTTTTTTTTTTTGTGTTTTGGGTATTTTGAAGTGTGTAGGTAAAAAATTTTGAGAAGTTTTTTGGGATCCTGTAGCAAAAGTTGTTAAAAAACTAGTAGGTAAAAAACTTGCTTAAAAACCTGACTTCCAAACAGGCCCTTGGTCATAAACACTTATCATGCTTATTGGTTTGAAGCCAATATTTGATGTCTGATGATTAATTATATGTTTAGTCTACGGTGATAGAGTGTAACTTTGGGTTTTACCCAACACGAAAAGTAGGTAATAACGCGCATGAAGACACAAGCAGCAACAATCAAGAAGTAGGTTCTTTGGTTTGTTTCAATTGAAAGTATCAATTAGTAGTTAATAGTAGTATTTCCAACCTTTTTAACACCAAATTAAATAGGTATAGGTGGAATTGGGATCTCCTTGGCAAATCGCTTAAAAAGTGAAAAGCTTATAAAACTCCTAAACTAAAAGCATAATGCTTGGGAGTTTTCAATTTTCGTGCCCACAACACTGCAAGAATAAAACGTTTTATGTGACACAAACTCCCCTTTTGCCTTTTCTCCTTTACTTGAGAATAAGAAAGATAAGAAGACAAGAAGACGTGGATGTCAGCAATTCACTCAAAAATAAGTAAATAAATGAATAACAAAGGATATTGATCTGAACGGGCTAGGACAGCGACTAAAGGTAACGCAATCCAAACAAGGCCTGGAACTACGTATATGGCCGACTTAACAGTAATGAGAACAGCAGAGGCCCAAGAAAGAGTTTACAGTTTCCTTCAAACCGAAGAACACGGTTCAACGTCTGTGCGCGAATGGCACTGGCAAAACTTCTTAAAGCAGTACAACTGATGCTATAATTAATTCGCTTTCACTGAGGAACACGCAGGTAAAGTGGGATAGGATTTCGAGCATTGGGAGCTGAATCCCAAACGGAAAATGCACTGCTGGAGTTCATCCATTTCTTTGTCATCTCAGGGTAGTGGCGGTCCAATACATCTTTCAGGCTCTCAGTTGTGTTCACCCGTTCCAGACCTTTCTTGGTGTACGTCTCCTCGTTGAAATTGCTTGTGAAGAACCTGTCTGCCTCTAGTCTCCTGGAGATATACACCAATGGCAAACGTTCAGCTTGTGAGAGGATTATTAAGCCTTTATTTATACTGAGAAAGACTAAATTAAGTGAGAGAGGATTCTTTCTATATTGAACTGATTTGAGTGACATTATAAAAAACTGCTGCTGCTGCTGCTAGCCTAAGTATACCTCGTTGCCATGATGACGAATATGATGAATGCTGTCTCGCTAATGGCGAAACCCTTGATCTTTTTCTCTGCCATGAGCCCCACTAACAAATCCAACTCCTCAACATCGTTACCATAGACCTCACGAAGAGTTTTGATGGATTCAGCATCATCTGTGAGGTCTTCCCATTTGGAGATGGGGATTAACAGGAGGGCCCTCCTGAAAGCATTGTATCTAGCTACGCTTCTTTCCCTGTCCCTAAAAACTGCGTCGCATAACACCCGGAGTGTCAAATACGCATCACATCACTGTTTGATTAATACTCTTTTAGGCAAAACCAGAACTCAAACTCTTTATCATTCTCTAGAATCCAAAGCAAATAAAAACCCCAAAAAAGCCTGGAGAGGAAGCAATTGATAACTTACTCTCAAGAGCTGGAAGGTCGACGTGATCAGGCCTTTCGGTTCCATCCGGATTCTGTGGAATAATATCCCTGAGCCACAGAGGATAATTCCAGAGCTCAAGTGCTGCACATGCTTGGTGACCCATTGATACCATTTGCCTGGTGAATCCAATACCTGACAACATCTTTTCCCCATTTATACCGATCAGATTGGGCATGGCAATCCTGCAATATGAGGATGATCACCGAACACTTATTATTATACTAAAACAACAAAATGTACTGCACTACTTACTTACTACACAGTCTTTTCCTGTTTTCTTTTTGAAATAGGCTGCATTAATTAGTTGTGTATAATGGGCTGCTGAAGATATTCTTTTGTATACATGCCTAATTAATTAAAAGCAGAGCAATAAGTACTGTTAAAGAGTAATCATACTGTTTGGACAGAGGAGGAGATTTATTGGGTCCTGTTGCGGCATTGATGTCTCTGAGGAGAAGGTCATCCGGCAGGAGGGAGTGCATCCTGTAAACGCTCACAAATTCCTCAGTCAAGGAGTAAGGTACCCCATGATTCTCAGGCTTCTTCAGCCCCACCAGACCGCTCAAGATGACTCCTCCAACGTGCCCAAATGTATCCTTAAACTTCTTTCCCAGCAAGCCATACCTATTTTTCAATTATCATTGGGTTCATTTAAATTGCGGAAGAAACCAGAGTCGATCTCAGACGCTAATAATTCAATAGTGACGGATAAGAAGCTTAGTAGCAGTATAACATATAGTGGGAGAATGTTTAACATAGACCGGCGATGCGAGCCCCATTTTTGGGACCTGCGTTTTTGTCTCACGGTGCCATATATATATATTGAATGCTTAGTTCTCTTAGTCATCGTTTATGCTATTAATTTCCCTGTTTCAGAATTGACATAGGTGTATGCTGGACTGCTGAATCTGGAAACCACGTACGGAAAAAATAATTTATCATTGTCATTAGCACGCACTTGTAGGAGGGGAAGGACTGGAGTAGTGTGTGTGTATGTGTGTGTATATATATATGTGTGTGTGTGTAGTTGTTACCAATTGGCCCGCATTGCTGCATGCAGAGTGTCGGTTTTGAGGAGCTCAACAGTCCAATCAATGGTGTGGATCTTTGCGATTATAGCAGAAGTCACCAGTCTTGCATGCCGATACAATTCCTCGTCACCCAGCTCCGGATATTCCTTCTGCTCCGGTAATTTAATTCCATTCAACAGCACAAAAAGTCAGAATAGATATTTAAAGACCATATATATTCAAAAGCCAATTCGTGTATTTCTAAATATTCGAGTACTGAGCCGTGACGTGATTAGAGATTATCAGTAGTATTGGTTGGTTAACAAGTTAATTTAAGTGCATGCATCAATATATATATATATATAATTAATGACAACCTTCAAGGCATCGCAGACCGAATTATGCTCCATGACAAAGAGGGCCTGGAGCAGAGATACGCCGGCCCAGCTGTTACGGACGTCGCCGGAGATGGCACGTCCATCATCATCCTCGTGGAGAAGAAGTCCATCCTTGGATATCTTGAGCTTTCCATCTTTAAAAGTCCTCACTTTTTTCAGGCTCTTCTCGTCACTCCCGTAAATAGCACTCGCATCCCTAACAGTTTACACGCGCAGTACATGCATGCACCAGCACCACTCAATTAATTCACACTCAGCTTATGGTAGCATTAAGGGATATTTTCAGAAACCTCCCTTGAGGTTTCTAACAATTTCACTAAACTCTCCTGAGATTTGAAAAATTACACTCAACTCTCTTGATTTCATAGTTTTAGTAACAAAATCTTAAAATAATATTGACTTGGTCAAATTTTTAAATAAATATCCTAAAATACCCTTGTATAATGAGTTTTAATTTATTTTTCTATACAATTATAAGATGATCTAGTATAATTATAAAGAAAAGATGCCAAATTTTATCACTATGATAAACAACTATGCCAAATTTTCATGTCCACACCTACTATTTGATAAACAACTACAATAATAAATTTATCACTATGATAGGATACTTTTGATGGTATTTATTATGAATTTAGATTTATAAGATAGAAAAGAAAATGTTGAAATAATTTATTTAAAATTTATGAATTTTTCGAGTAGTGGGATTATCATTATTTAGTAATGGTTTGGAGCCATTTCCTTTTTGATTTATTGTTAATTTTAATATTGAAAAATAGAAAATAAAGATCAGCAAAAACATTAGATTATATATAAGTTAACTTACCAAAAAAATTACTAGTTCGACATTTGATTACAATAGAAACTAGAGGTAATAGTGGTATAGTTTTATTGGCAAAAAAAAAAAAAGGGAATAAGAAGGAAAAAGAATGAAAAAAAAATTTTAAAAGTCATTCTAAGTATAAGCATAGCAAATAAAGGAATTTCATTACTCCTTCTGTCCCATTAAAAATGTCAAACTTTCTTTTTTGAAATATCCCAAAACAACTATCATGTTAAAAAAGTCAAAACACCTTTTAGTCTCTCTTTTCAATATAGCTCTTCTTTCTAACCATATGCATGTTACCATTTAAATTTAAATTTTGAATTTATGGAAGTAAAATTGGAAAGAGAATGACAAACATTACAATCAAACCACTATTTTTAAAAAGTTGGATTCCCCAAACATGACTAAATAAATGGGACGGAGGGAGTAAAATATTTAAGAACAGTATTGTCATTTTAAATGATAAGGAGGTGGGTGTAATTAATTTTTAAAAGCTTGAGGCAGCCAAACAAAATCGTTAATAACCTCAAGGGAAGTTTCTGAAATTATCCCTAGTATTAAACTGTATATTAACACATGCATCCTAATTCAAAAGGATAATTAAGAAGAAGCTTGGCTTTGCTGTTGACTATACTGAAATTTCTTACCACCAAGGTGTTCTGCGGTTCAAGTGACCGGTCTTAATCTCGTAGAAGCCTGTAGGAACCTCCTTTGTCTTATAAAACTTGAAAGACTTGAGAGGGCACTGGCTTGCGACTTCAGCCGGTGCAGTAAGTTCAATCTGAACCCGACATTTCAACATATTAAACTTTGATATTAGTGATATGGCCCACCGCCAACATTATCAAATTATATAGGAATAATATATATACTTAAACAGATAAACACAAACAGACGTCGTGCGCCATCAAATACCATCTAAATTAATGCCGTCCAACAAAGACGTTTACTAGTACTAGCTAATATATACAAGTATATATGTGTGTGTGTGACTGTGTGTTGAGCAGGACCTGTTGGGTATCTTCTAAGTGGTCGATCCAGTCGTGTATCATGAATTGCAGAAACATTTTGTTTACGTCAATAAATGTCACTTAGTGTACGTTTAAGCCTTTTGGGGCTTATTCATCCTCAAGGTTTCGAGATTTAGTGCGAAAACTACATGGATCTGCCTCGGGAGGAGCTGAGCTAGGTATCCGTATTTCGTAGCCTCTTGTTAGTTCCAAAACATTTGCCAACAAACAAGTAATCGAAGAAGCAAGCAATATATACTTGGACATACCTTGTTACGCTGGTCAACGGGAAGAACGTTCCTCCCAAAGAAGGAATCTTCGCTACCAGCACCTTCGTTGAAGGGATCATTAAACTCTCCGTCGGCCGTCCTAAAAGGAAAATCCGCCGGGTTGAATCGAACACCTGCTGGCGTTTTGCCAACGTTGAACAAATTGTATTCCTGATGCAGGTGGCGACGAATGCTCAGATATATTAGCCCCAGGAACACCGGCAAACGATGCCAAATCCCCAGCTTGTCCACGAAGTGAATGATCTGCATGTCAAGGACCAAACATTATTAATTATAAGTGAATGAACCTCATCACTTATGCTTTCATCGATTAGATTCATTCTAAATGTTTTATGATACAACAATAATGGCCCATAAACTGATAAAGGATTGTGTGGAGGAGAAATAAGCAAGAGGACTAATTATTACGAGAAAGAGAAGCTTGTCAACGAGAGTCATCCGCTTTACAACTTCATGGAAATCTTTGTGGATGAAGTTATGAAAAGGGGCCACCAAGACGGCCTTGACGGAATTAGCTACTAGTGTAGCCATGCTTTTTCTATCGATTCTGAGGCTGAGCTTAACTACGGGTCGATCTCCCTGTTATATTATATGATATGAGAAGAAGAAAATGCGCATCGATGGTGATCTATTTATAACATCAACGGACCCTGGCCTGCTGATTGGCTGCTTGGAATGCAGGTCACGGACTCACGGGCCTCACGGCATGGGTAATCTATCTAGACTTTTACAGTTTAATAATCAACTCCCTCAGCGACTAGTCAAAAACTAATATGTATGGAATAGCCAATCTAGGGGCTCCAGGATAGGACTACAAATCTATCTTTTCTTTTGTTCCCTCGAAGTCACTAGTCAAAAAGTACATGTACGTTATAGCCAACTAAGGGGCTCCCGGATAGGCTCTGTAGTCTCAAAAAAAAAAAAATTGTTTCTGAGAAAAAGCTAGATTTCAAAATGTTGATAAGGAGATTTGATTTTTTAATCTACGTTCAAGTATCATTTTAAAATTCTCCTGATGGCCGACTACTTTAGAAATAGGCAGTTCTGCTGTGTGAATTTGATCGTTCAATTTTCAAACGTTAATGACACAGAAACTGAACAGTCACAATAGCAAATTTGGCAGATTTAAATAAAAGATTTCTTTCAAAACTGAATAATGTGACTTCGCAGATCGACGCTTGTCTTATCTTATTTGTGTTACGTACCAATCGCAGATTAATGCAGAGATAGAGAGTGGTTTCGCCGATTACTGCAGAGACAGAGAGTGGTTTAATTTTAGGCCTCGCCTCATACTTGGGTGGAATTGACGGCTGCTGTGTGTCTAGCATACTTCGAGGATCTTGGCCGCCCCCAGTTTTTGTCAAATTTTTATGCATTTTTCGTCGCAACGGATCTTCTGTCCCACACTCTGTTTGATTGAGCACATCCAAATGTATGGATATGGTCCAGAGAGATATAATCATGATTTCAATTCAATCCTATTACGGCATTACGCTATCGGTTTCTTATTGAAATGTAATAATGATCGGCTGTGGACTGCGATATTACAGAATTTCTTGGTGAATCCAAATGTAATTTAAGAATAGGATGCAGTCTACAGAGAGAATTTTCAATTCAATCTTTAACGTTCCCGTTACGCTATTGCTTTCTTATTTCAAATATTAATAAATAAAGATCGCTGTGGACTGCGACGCTTTCTTCTCGGAAGAGGGCGAAATGCCCAAGTATGAAATTTCTCGTGAGAATCCAATTACGGTAGGTACAGCACATGCCAAGTGTTAAAATATTTCCCACATGTAGACTGTGTTAATATCACGACGCCACGCTTTACTTTTCAAATTCGTGTGTCAGAGTTTTTGTAGATATAATACTGCAAATTTATTAATATTTTGATTTTTTTTTTAAATAATTTTAGAAACCTCCCTTGAGGTCTTTGACTATTTCACTTAACACCCCTTAACTTTAAAAAAACTTTTGGCTTCCATACTTTTAACTTTTTATAACAAATGGTTAACCCATTTAAAAATATAGTACTATTTAAAATCTCATTTTTGGATAGAGAAGACGTTTTTATTTCAAAAGTGTCCATTGTTGTCCTAGTTCTTTTCTAAAATTGAAAGCACGCAATAAAATGTTGAAAATAGAGGCAAATTATACAAATGTATAATTTTCACCGACACAATATAACATTAGGTATTTTAATGTACAAAATAAAAAAAAAAAGTCTTAAGACTCTATTCAAAGTGTTTTCAAGCCAAAAAAAATATTATTCCTTTATTGCTATTGTGAAGTACTTTCGATCAATTTGATGACATTCTCACATTTTTAGAAATTTTAAAATTTCTTGTTTAGATCGATGGCTTGAAAACCCCCCAAAAAAAAAGAGAGAGGTAAAGCGTTTACATTTACCAACCCATTTGAGGTTTTTTTTTCCAAAGACAACAATTATTTTTTTAATTCAAAAGTGCTTTGTAGATGAACTTAAGGATTTTATTAATTGTGTAAACAATTTTTAAATTTTCTACTTCTTGTCTAGATTAATGGCTTGAAAACTTGAAAAAGATAACTTCTTAACTATATATTAAGAAACTTTTAATTGAGGTGTCTTTAAGATACAAAATGTTATTTTCTTCATTGTAACGCTCTCAGATAAATTTCGTCGATTTTCTAATTTATTTAGAATATCAATATTTATTATATTTATTGTGTAGACGAATGACATGAGAATTATTAATAGGTCTTTCAACCTTATTAACACTTTGTAATTCCTAATTAAAAAAATTATATCATCCAAGCTTTCAAAAGTTAAGGGATTAACTTGATTTGTTATGAAACTAAAATAATTCACAAAAAAGGCAATATTGGAATGAAAATATATATTCTATCCACCAATGAGTTTTTAAATACTATATTGGAAATGGGTTGATATTGTTACAACTAGTTAAAAATAGGGAGGCAAGTGATTTTTCAAAGTTTAGAGGTATTAAGTGATATTACTACAAAACGTCGGTGGAGGTTTCTAAAATTATCTCCGATGTTTGCTCCACATTAAGCGTTCACTTCCCGTTTGGCACTTGGGATCCTCGGTGACATGTTTTCTATGCCAATCCAATGCCACCTATAATATTGTGTCAAGTATCCTGTTATTATTTACACTTGTGTTAAACCAAACCAAGTTGAATTATTAGAAAATTAAAGTGTAAATAATAACAGGATACTTGGCGCAATACTATAGGTGGCATTGAATTGGCATAGAAAAATATGTCACCGAGAATCCCAAGTGCCGTTTGGCTGCTCTTCGGCATAAGCTTCCGGTATTTTATCGGCTGCCCAATGTGTCAAAGAAATTTTATTGGCTGCCGCTTCTTCTTCATAAAAACAATTCAAGTGTGAATGAATCGCTCGCAGAATTAGGAAAATATGAAACGTTCTCCCTGGCGCACAAGGCAATTGAACACGTCCAAAAGCACAACCTGTCTGCTTGAAAGATACAAATTGAAGCCTTTATATTATTCTGACATCTAGAATATTTTGACACAGTAATAACGTTGAAACTTGAAAAATGCTGGCTCTCGGGCTTAGTCAGTCCCCGACAGCACAGAAAAAAAAAATTTTAATGCTGACTAGTCCGTCAGCCAATCCGTCTTCTTTCTCCAATAGCCCACGTTCGATCCTAGTCGTCTTCTTTTTGTTGGGCAAAACACTCCGCTAGCCTTTACCGCATAGTTATCCAAACAATGAGTGGGAGAGGATGATGGAGAAAAAGGAAAGAGAAGAAAGTAACCTTCGTTTCTTTTTTAAAAAAAATTTTTGAACTCGATTTATTTGATATGTGAATTAAGTGTCGAGTTAGAGTTAATATAATCTTTTTATAATTATTAGAGGAGATAAGTGATATTTTAAAACTTTAAATGCATCAAGTGATATTAAAAAAATCTCAAGGGAGGTTTTTGAGATTATCTCAATTGGTAAAGAAACAATATCAACTACGTTGATTTTTTTGTCGAATTTTGGGCAACACTAAGCATTCAAACTTGTCGAGGATGTAGACACGAACAAATAGTATATCAAAGATGCATTAAATGAACCACCCGATGATAAAGCACCAATGGCCACAATATCTGCGGAATCTTGTCAAAAATCATGATAACAATATATTAAGGACCTGTTTGGAAGTCTAATTTTTTTGCAAGTTTATATTATACTAGTTTTTTTATAATTTTTGCTACAGAAACCCCAAAAACTTATCAAAGTTTCTAACCTACACACTTAAAATATCCAAAACACAAAAAAAAAAATTTTCCCTTCCCCTTTTCTTCTTCTTCCTTCCCTACCACCACCTCCGCCGCCGGTTCCAGCGCCAGTCTTTTTTTTTTTTTTTCCTTTTTCCCTCTCCTTCTTTTCCTCCCTTACAGCCCATTGCTTTCTAATTTTGCTTCTTCCACCGGTGTCCTCACCTCTAAATCATCATCATCTTCTTCTTCTTGCTTCCACAGGGACCTAACGTGCAAAATCTTGAAAACCCAATTCCCTTTTCGCCCATCATGATCCAACTCATCTTTTTCCTCATTATTATCGTTCTTTTCCTTTGCCAAAACTGGGATGGCGTCTTTCACGGATATGGCAGCGTCATAATTGCTCTTACTTCCTTTGGACCAGAAAGATCTAAATAGGTATCTAAAGGGGCAGAGAGGGTGGCGGGCCAAGGGAGATGGCGAGCAGAGGGAGGAGGAAAGGGATGGTGGGCAGAGGGTAGTGGCAGAGGAGAGGGGAGGAAAGGGGTGGCGGGGGAAGGAAAGGAGAAAAGCAAAAAAAAAAAAAAATGTATGTGTTTGTAGAGGCAGTTTCGGGAGAGGGAACAGGAGAGCGGGAAGGGGAAGGGAGAAGAAGAGGGAAGGGAGGAAGGAAAAGAGAAAAGAAAGAAAGAAAAAGAAAAAAGAAAAAGATAGAAAGAAAAAGGAAGAGAAAAAAAAGTTTTTTCATCTTACAAAAGTTTTTTTACAGTGATCTACAGTAAAGTTTTATACAAACACCCAAAAAATTCACCTTCCAAACAGGCCCTAAATTACCTTGGACTTGAACCCGTGACTTGTTCGAGGTTGCTGCGTGGGAATGTGGAGCACTCTTTTAGTTTGGTGTGCCGACTCGGGTCCTAAGGGTTTGAGTCGAAACTAGAGATGACAATAGAGGCGGGCATTCGCGGGGGATCATTGGGGCAAGGGTTGGGGTGGGGGCCGGGGGGGAATTTTTCCCCCTGTTTAGAAATGGGGCGAGGGAGCGCCACCCGTTTGAAAAACTATATATATATATGTACATAATTATATATATAATGATATTTTTAATTATACTACTAATTATACATGTCTATTAATAAAAATTATTAATTATTTATACTAAATTTATTAATACATTTATGTTAAATTTCTAATTACATTTAATACAGTAACACTTTTTTTTTCTAAAAAAAATACAATAATAATTTAGTGATTGTATTTGTATCAAAAGTGAAAACTTCATTATTTTAGTTATATTTGTTTTATCATATTAGATTGTACTCAAATAACATTTATTTAATTATTTTTATGAGTTTCAATAGTGAAGTTATAATGAATAATAATTTGGTGATGTGTTAATATTTTAGTACTTGATTATTTGCTCAAATTTAATTATAATGAAATTAT